AATGCCTGTGGGTAGCAAAGCTGAAGGAAGGGTGAAGTTACGGGGTCCGCTTGCTCTGAAGTGCAGAAACTACTCAAAAATTTGGGGGTAGGGTTCCCTGCAGCCAGGAGGGAGCTACCCTGGCATTGCCTGGCTGGAGGCTTGGCACCGGGCCCCTTCCTTGCCTCAGTTGTCCACCCCGAGCTGGACGGTAGCAGAGTTTTTGTCTTGTGCTTCCTTAGGGTTGCAGACTTGGGATGTATCTGGGCTACCCTTGCAGGGCAAGTTTCTGTTTGGAGGGGAGAGAAACGGGGGTCCCACTGCAGCCTGCACCTCCACGATGTGAGCCAGGGTACCTGGCCGGGACCGGACACTCCAAGGCACCCAAAACGCTGGCACCTGCACTGCCCTGGCACCCAAAGCTCAGGAAAACAAAACACATTCTCTTACGATGGAGCACTAGCACCAGGCAAAAGTGAGTGCCGCTGAGCCACATGTCACCGACGACAAGAGAGTGATGATTTACTGGGAAAACTGACCTATAAAAAACACCCTTCGGGATCCTGTTTATTGTCTCATACCCTTCAAATACTCCACAGTTACAAATACTCCGTACAATTACAAGCTAAAAAAAGGAAGGGAGGTAATTCTCCCACACATTGTCTAGCCCATGGACTCAACAAACCTGCGGCACCATCAGCAGGCAGCGTGGGTCAGACAGCCCGGCGAGGTTCCTTCTGGGAGATGGTGGGACCCCTCCACCAGGCATAAACAATTCCCACTTCAAACCTGGGCCACAGACTTGTTGCCGGATCCATGTAGCTGCAGAGAGGGAGCTGTGCCAGTGATGGGGGATAGGAAGGAGAAAGAAGAGAAGCTGTTCCCACATAACACAGCCTCTCCCCTCTGCAAAACCATGATGCTCCATAAGGATCCACAGCCCCCACGCTTCTGCAGGTACCTCCATCCCAGCTGAGCTCTGCTGGAAACTACAGCCCACAAAACCGCCGTGAAGATGCTGTCCCACAGAAGTCAACTTGCCACGCATCTTTCAAAGGTTGCACAACAACAACCAGGCAGGGACTTCAGCACAAGAGAGTGACCACAGGCAGCTGCGTCTTTGGGACACATTCAGGCGTCCATATAGCCAGCTCAACCAACAAGGGAACCAAGCGGTCTCCCTCACTCACAGAAAGTTTGACTCACCGCCTCCTCAGCCCAAAGCACCAGGGGAGTCTCCACACGTGCAAACCGATAACCTGGATACCTCCGTCCCCTCCCCACACAAGCACTTACCCCCCAGGAACTGGATGCCTCCTGCCACCCTGCCCACGGTCCTGGAGATGAGATCGGACACGCAGCAGCCCATGAGAGCTGTCAGGGCCACCAAGAGGAGCAGCCCACAGCCCAGGCCCGTCACCACCGTGCAGATCCTCCACTCGGCACTTGGGATGGCCTGGAAGGAGGCGTAGCGGCCACACTGCTCCACCATCACGGTCGTCTGGCGGCTCTCATCCCGCACCGGGTAGGAACACCTCCGGAAAGTGCCAAAGGAAACCGACTTCTCCAGCTGAGACCCCAAGAGCCAGTAGGGCATGAAGAAGCCCACGCAGGAGGCGGCGGCGCAGAGGAAGGAGAGGAAGGCCCAGACGACGCCGGCACAGGTGAGGCTGGAGGCCATCTTTGTATCTGCTCCAAGACCCCTCACGATGGGGAAACAGCAAAGCAGCTGTGTATTTTAGAGGAGGTTTATGGATAATCTGGAGTCTCTCAGCCTTGACAAATCCTCACACTGGGAGAAGCTCGGATCCTAACAGCCAGGGGGATGTTTCCTCCCATCATGAAGTCAAAGGTCCCTAATTAAATAACACCACACAAAAAAAAAAAGGAGAAATATACAAGTTCAGTAATACTAACATTAGAAAAAAAAAACTTTATCTGCCAGAGTGTTTTTCCTTCCTACAGGACTTTTCCTGAAGACATCTCACTTTTCTGTCCCATCCTTGCAAGCAGCTGCTGGAAGTGCTGTCAGTGATACTGGCTGCTGGGGATGGTGGGAGGGTGGTGGGAGGCTGCGCATCCAGGAATGCTCTGCAGCCACCTTCAGGGGCTCCTCGTGTACTTGCCTACTACTTTTCTCCCTGGTACATCTTGATCTTCCCCGTACAGATAGAGAAAAAAGGTGAGGTCTCGTTTATCCTCAGCTCGCCGGGCCTTCCTCCTGCAATGCCTGGGGAATCTACTTCACATTATACATGGCCCCACAGTTTCAGTGCAAAACCGCTCACGGTGCCTAAGTTTTTTTCCAGATCAGACCCTTGTGGCAGAGGTAAACCTCATTAACACACCCCCGAGAGAAATGTTAACGAGGTGACATTTTTTCCAGCACTCCCTTAAGTTGTTGGCATCCCTGTGCAAAAGGAGCCTTTTATCACTTGATGTCCAGAAGTGCCAGGAACCCCGACTCCAGGTGGGCTCCTGGTAGGTGAAGACGATGCCACATCTTTTAGATTCACCCCACACACAACCTCAAGCAACACATGATTAAAACACAGGGGTCTCTCTTAATATCCCTGCTTGCACTCAGCCCAGCTCCGTCTCTTCTTTGCCTCTTCCCAGCTCAAACCCGGGAACTTTAACCCCTCTTCATCCTTCTCGGAGAACTCCCAGCCTCTAAGCTCAGTACCAGTGTGACCAAGTGCATTTAACTGTCATAGAAACCGACACGCTGCTTCCCAGAGGTTGGGGGTGTATTTCTTGTCAAAGCCATGCTGGATCATTACTCCAACTGCATTTGTAACTTTATGATCATTTCTCACAGTTGCTGCCAAATTAATTCCGATGGCTATTTACAGGGGCTTTTTTCGCAAAGCATGATTAGATGCCAATCAGTGAATTCAATTCATGTACAGGCAATAAAATTAATACTACTTCAGCACAAAGAGGAATGCAAAGAAAGAGCCTGTAAGTGAAATTAAGCATGTGCACTACAAAAAAGTTTTGTTTACTTTTAAAACACTAAGAAAAAGAAGTCTTTTCTATAACGTTAAAAAAGGCCTATGCTGCTACTCAAGAAGTACACACCTATCTACTCATAGCCTATCCACAGAAATGCCTTTCAACCTGCAAAACACCAAATCCCTCAGGATAAAAACCTGGGAGAGGGGCATAGGGTGTCTCCATCCCTCCAGAGGCATCTTCTGGAGAATCTGCCTGCGTCTTGGTGTGGCACCAAACGTCTAAGGCAAAGTGGGTCACGGCACTTAGGGAAGATCATTCCCTGAATCAGGGGAGGAGGTACGGCTGGAAATAGGGGACAACATGGACACTTCCAGGGGTAGGACCCTGCAAACCCGCCGGCTCTGTTGGAGCAGCAGCTTTGCCTCCCCAGAGGCTGCCAGCCCACAGCCGGGCGTTCTCCGGGGAGGCGGATTCGCCCCTCCGGCCCCGAAACCCCGCTCCCCTCCCTCCGGGGGTAGGAGGGGGCGGCGGAGAGATCCGGCTCCCCCCGAGGGAAGGCGGCGGCCGGGAACCCAAAACTCACCGGGGTGATGGGA